TAGTAGTTTTTTAGTCATGGCTTTTGTAGAGTTTAAAGGATAGTAAACAAAAGTAGCCTCAGAGTTGGAAAAACGGTGGGCCCTTGAACTATGTACTCGTAACATCTTTGAGCGGTGTAAAGAACTATTTTATTTGATTCTTGTAGTTTGAAATGCAACTTGCCTTTCATCACAAAGTTGAATGAATTTCGGTTCAAAATTAGATAAGCTCATGCCCAAGATATTCACATAAACCTCTTAGTGTGCTAAATCTTGCCTCAAATAAATTAAATCATTGAATTTGAAGTACTTGAGATCAAACCATGACGTCCATGAATTGAAAATGCACATAAATTCGCGACTTCGCCTTCCATTATGACTTAATTTGCCCATTCACTTAAGCAAATTTTATCTCCCAAAATAAGCTTTCTTTGCCTTGATGAACTAATGACTCGAGAGATAAACAGAGACCCAAATCCAATTATTATGCTGAGGTAGTGGTGAAAACTTTAACCATGCACTTTAGGATCTGAATCCTAAACCACCTTTGACTCATAAGAGAAAGAAGTTGATCACGACCTTGACGAGGTATAGCCAAAAGTCCACCCGGGCTGTCTTAAAAAAACCAAGGGTGGCCCAATGATGTAGAAACGAATACAGAAAAGGGGCCAAAATCAGAATCAACCAGCCACGCTTTGAAATGCTCAACTGTGAGGATGAAAGCCATCTCTATTTGAAGCTGCCACACTTGCATAGACTTGTTAGTGAAAAAAATACATAATAATAATAAAGACGTCAAGTAAACAAAGAGGTGGGATCTTATGGTCAAAAATTAGGGTGTGACAGTGGATAATAGAGAAAATGGTTCTAATAAGTATTGTGAATTGAAAAGATTGGATTTTGAATATGGAATTAATGAATAAAGATTGTATGGAGGTGGATATTTAAATGGATAATGGAAATTGGATTAAAAATCAGATAATTGGAATGAAAAGTGGATAAGAAAATAAATGGAATTAAAATTGGGTAATTGGAAAGTAGAAGTGGTTTAGAAATGGATATTAAGTGGAAAACGGATAAACATGGTTATTGGAATGGATATGGGTAAGGAATGGTTTCTTCTCACCTTCACCAATGCTTGTACTAAAACTTGAACCAAAGAATCTTGTCTTGAGAAAATTAAATCCAACTTGCAATCCACATTAGCCTTGAATAGAGAAGCTTGAAACCAATTTCAACATCTTGAACTCTTTATAAAAATCAAACTTGAAACTAAAACCTTAATGACATCACCATAAATGAAACCACCCTGAAATGACCTGAACTGAATAGCAAACTTGAACTCTTTTGAATTAATGACAAGAACATGAACCACATAATCAGGTCCTGCAAATAACTTGAAATGTACCAACTGCCTTGACCTTTAATGGCTCTGCAACTTGACTTTACCATATGACTTAAACTTGACAAAAAAAAACCTAGTTTGATGATCTTCAGATATAAGACAATGATCCATGGTTAATCTAACTTGAGAATGAAGCAATCTCCAACTGAACTTCAACCATTACTGCACACACACGTGACTTGATAACCTCAATCGAACCTCAATTGAATGACACTTACCCATCTCAAACACCAATGGGTGAGAAACCCTAATTTTCTTGTCATGGGCGCATACTGATGAAGCAATGACTTAAGGAGTTAATGAGAACCAAAACCCTAATCTAAAATCTTCACAGTTTGCCCACTAATGAAACCCTAAACATCTGATACCCTTGAGGAGACTCAGAGAAAATGAAATTGTGCCTTGGTGAACCTTTGAGAGGCCCATGATGATGAAAGTCCAAGACCTTGTTTCAAACTTGAGTGTAATAACCAAATGAAATCACCTCTGAATGATGGAAATCCAAATAAACAAAAAACCTTTGATCCCGTGTCTTAGGAGCCCAATGAAGTGCATGATTATGATTGTCATGACCTAGTGGATAATGTATAAGAATGAGAAATATAAGACAGTTAGGGTTATGAACAATATGGAAAATTGTGGGGTGCAACACACCTCCTACGGATCAAGTGCCACTTCCTGCTGATGATCATGCTAATCCAGTGCCACTTCTGGAAGGTAAGGCTACTGCGGGTGCTAAGCTAGTGGGGTTATTTCAGGCATTGATTATTACTAACATTGATTATTTCTGGAATATTTTAGGAGCGTGATCCCCAAAAATTTCCTAACCATGAGAGGGTGGTTGCTACATTTCCTCAGTAGAAGGATGTTTGGTTTCGGTTGGTTTTGATATTATCTAGCTTGAATGACCTATGCATGATCGGTTACACTTAGGTCAACCACGAGATGCCTAATGCATTTGTGGAAAGATGACATTCTGAGACCTCTTCGTTTCATCTCCCACATGGAGAGATGTCTATCACACTGGATGATGTCTCTTGTTTGTTACATATTCCGATCAGGGGAGATTCCTCGATCATGGGAGAATGACCAAAGACGAGGCAGTCGAGATGATGGTAGAGCATCTGAGGGCTAATCCAAGGAAGGCGGTGAAAGAGGTGTATAGGATCAGGGGTGCTCATGCTAGATTTGAGTTCCTGGAGGAGAGATATGATGATGAGATCCTTAGTGCAGAGGAGGTTCATGGTGATGCTAAGCAGGTGGCGGTACACAGGGCTCGTGCTTTGAGGGCACACTTTCTTTTTTTGGTTCGCACTTGCATTTTGTTGGACACGAGTGTCACTTATACTGACATTGCATACCTCTGATACTTCTTGGATCTCACTAGGATCCATGAATACAATAGGGGGTGGCTTGACTGAACTATCTTTATTCGAAGTTGAGAGAGGGATGTCGCTAGAAGACAAAGCAAGTCACAGGCAACATGATACTGTTGGTGGTAATAATTCTTGATCCTTGAATATTTTTTTATCATTTTCATTTCATATTTGCGAAACCATTGCTGATAATTCATTCCAGGCTTGGATCCTCTAGCACTTCTCGCGCATCGCTAGATGGGAGTATGGATGAGTACACTGAGATATGTCACGTGCTTGTGCTTTTATCCCGCTTAGAGAGAATTAGGTGGTCGAGACTTTTAGAGTTTATCTTGATCGTTTAGTTGCTGAGGACATGCACTTCAATAGTTATATGGATCACCGTCATACGCAACCATTTGACGAGATAACGCTATACTCCGGATGGTTGGCCTATGGATCGTGTATCACTGCTCCTCATTTCCCCGAGCGCGTCATTCGACTATTCTGGTACACCTAAACCGTCCCCAAACACCCTATTTCCTTTGCTCCTCCTACCTTGTCTCGTAGAAAGATAGATGAGAGGTGATGTTTGCTCATTATGAGAGTCATCTGGTACTAGAAGAGGCATATGATTCCATAACACCGAATGAATGGAGCTACGTCGATGGGTACATCAGGTGGTTCTTCAGGGTGTCACATTCGTACATGGTGCAAACTGCTTCAGGAGATCTATCGAGACCAACTCATCATGAGATACTAGAGGAGGAGCAGACTCAACTAGATTATACTGATAATGTCTTGCCTAGGTGTTGTCGCATAGTGGAGATTGCGCGTGCATGCATTGACGAGGGTATCTTCTCTGATGGGTCTGTTGTCAGGTGAGTTCTGGATGCCATGGTGGCTGAGGCACAGGGGGTACCAGAGACATCACCGGAGGACGGGTGAGATAGATGGACGAGGAGACAGAGCAGGCAGAGGAGGAAGAAGAGGTAGAAGAGATGTTGTCAGACACACCCAATAGTAGTTTGTTATTATTTTGTTGTAGTACTATAGTCTCTACTTTATTTTTACGGTTTATTACATTTTGGATCTCGATTGTACGATATTTTCTACATATATTGCTATATTAGTTTCGACACACCCAATATTATTCTCTTATTATTTTGTACGTCCATTTTTTTTATTCGAGATCGTGGTTCATACTTCATCTAAAAACAAATACACAAGTTATAACAAAAAAAACATCTATTCTGATATACTTCGGAGATGTATCTCCGGAATATTATCAAAAATGCATCTCCAGAATAATTCAAATGTAAATGGTTTCTAGGTGACATGTTCTGAATGTTTAAAATGGTTTCAGAGATACATTTTCAGAATATGTCAACGTTTATTCAGAAATAGGTGCGTCCGAAGATGTATCTCCAGAATCACGAGGCATATGTGAAAATTCACATGGTGCATTAGAAACATCTAAGGTGCAATAGGAAATTCTCTTTAAAATTAGAGGAAACGAGCCTAGCTATTTCAACCATGATTTAGGTTGGATGACACTTTTGGATCTAAATCCGTCCAACCCGACCCGTTGTCCACTCCAAGTTATATCTATGTTTACTTCCAAATTTATGTAACTCTCGTACAATTTAAAACACCATTGTGAATTCGATTCTTGAATAAAAAGTTCTGAATTACTGACATTATATTATTTTAAATTACAAATTACTACATCCGTTTTAAATTATAAGACGTTTTACATCGATTATATAAATTAAAAAACACAATAATTGTTATATGAGAAAGACAAATTATACCTTAGTTTACAATATTGTCTTTCATTTATTATAGATGAAAGAAAATTTTTAAAAATTATAAAAAAATAAATAAATAAATAATAGAGAATATTTTTAAAATTTTTTTATTAATATTGCGTTGAAATTATAAAATAACTTATTTAAGATTAATATTTTTTACATGTGTGCACATTTCTTAGGTAACTTCTTGAACCTGTCGGTCATCCAAGTTGATGCAGCTTCTCCACCCACTCATCACAGTGCAGAAAAGATGTTCCAGCTTATGGGTCACATTTTATATGAATTTTTTTTTTCAAAGAAAAACACATTTTTCAACCAGATTTCAAAATTAAGACCCACTTAATAAATCCCTACAGCCAAACTCAAGACCTACATATCTTTAAATGACCTTTATGGAAGCTAAATAGCTAATGAAAATTTCATACTGTACTAGATAATTAATCAGAGATGGAGATTCACATCCTGCTATTATTTGCCACCTTATCCCTTATCATGTTCCGGTTCTTTCTAAACCGTAAAAAGAATAAACCGCCCGGTCCAACCGGTTTACCCATTATCGGAAACCTCCATCAACTAGGCGCCCAACCCCACTCATCTCTTTCTAACCTTGCCAAAATCTATGGCCCGATTATGTCTCTCCGTTTCGGTTCCGTTAATGTCACCGTCGCCTCCTCCCCTACAACCGCCCAAGAAATCCTCCAAAAAAACGACCAATTCTTCGCTAACCGTCCTATCCCGGAATCAGTCGCCGCCCAACCCAACGTCAATGATACCCTAGCTTGGGCACCCGCCGACCCACGGTGGCGTAACCGTCGTCGCATTTGCACCACACAAATATTCACTTCCCAACGCCTCGACCTCCTTCAACACCTCCGCCACCGGAAAGTTGAACAACTAGTTCAACACCTTCACAAAAAAGCTGCCAAAAGAACAACGGTTGACATCGGTGAACTTGCTTTCGCCACCATGCTGAACTTGGTTTCGAATACAGTATTCTCCGAGGACCTTGTTGACTCGGAATTCGAGAGTGCTGGTGAGTTTAAGGAGCTTGTGTGGAGGATTATGGAGGATGCTGGGAAAGTGAATGTTTCTGATTATTTTCCGGTGTTGAAGAGATTTGATTTGCAGGGTGTAAAGAGACATGTTGAGGTTTCTTATGTGAGATTGCATGAGATTTTTGATCGTATGATTAGAAAACGTGTTGAGGATAGAGAGAGTTCGCATCACGGTGGCGGCGGTGCGGGTGCAGGTGACTTTCTGGATGTGTTGCTTGATCACTGTCAACAAGATGAAGGCTCTGTTTTTAGTGTTGAAAGCATCAAGCCATTGATTCTGGTAAGCTAATTAAGTGTTCTACTTTTCTTCAGATTTTGGAGGTTCATTTTTTTCATTAAAAAAAAATTTGTAAGAGCTTGATAATTTTTAATGATTTTTTATTTAAAATGTTTAAATTAATCAATAAAGAAATTAACTCGCAACAAGTTTTATTTCAAATTAAAAAAATTAAAATGTGATAGGTACACTAAGGCTCCTTCGATAAAAAAAAGTAGTTGATTAATAAATGAATATTATTGATAACATACAACAAATAGTTTATAATTTATAGATATGTATGATAATTGATAAGTTAATTGAAATAGGTTTGATATAATTAACTGTTTAATTAATTAATATATATAAAATGGGACATTTTAAATTATTAATAAAATATATATTCAAAATAGATTAGACCGCGTAATAGAGATTAGTTTATCTAACTTATTTTAACTTTTACCAACATAGTGGATATCCATTATCTTCATTTTATATAAGGTTCTTTTAATATAGTCAGGATAATAAATTTTAGTGAAAAAGATTGCTCAATAATGATCTACATCTCACTGCGACGTGGATCTTCCTCCACCATTACTATGTTTTCAACCAAATGAGTATTGATTTCTACGACAACTATTATATACTCCTAGTAGTAGTTCCATGTTTTCAATTTTGTTTGGTAGATTTTGGAAAAGACTTACGTGTCGATCAAATAATGATGTGGTCATGATTGAAAACAATGTAAACAGGATTTATTCATAGCCGGAAGTGACACATCAGGCTCAACAACAGAATGGGCAATGGCAGAACTTCTCCACAATCCAAAAATAATGAAAAAAGCAAGAAACGAAGTAACTCAAATAATCGGAAAATCCAACCAAGTCAAAGAATCAGACATTCCATCTCTTCCTTACATCCAATCAATAGTCAAGGAAACACTCAGGCTTCATCCACCAGTTCCACTTCTGTTACCTTACATTGCATCAAACGATGTCCGAATCAACGGTTACACAATTCACAAAGGAAACCAGGTTCTGATAAACGCTTGGTCTATTGGAAGAAACCCTGAATTTTGGGATGATCCGTTGGTTTTTAAGCCGGAGAGGTTTATTGATTCTGAGGTTGATTTTAAAGGGAGAGATTTTGAGTATTTACCGTTTGGCGCTGGGAGAAGAATTTGTCCGGGGATTCCTCTGGCTAATAGGATGATTGTTTTGATGTTGGCTGTATTGTTGCATTCTTTTGAATGGGAGCTTCCGGAAGGTGTTGGTCCGGATACGCTTGATATGAGGGAGCAATATGGAATCACGTTGAAGAAGCTTGTTCCTCTTTCTGCTGTTCCAATTTCTGTATTAGAATGAGTAGAGATGTGTTTGGCAAAAGGAGTTTCTTATTGGCTTAAATAATTAAATAATGTGCTTTGTTTTGAGACAAAAGAAGTTGTGTATGAGTAGGATATGATGCAGCCAAACAGACACATATCATATATAACTTGAAGCATTTGCTAGATACGTAATTCATTATGCTACTTTTTTTTACTTAAATTTTTTTTTCTTCTTAATGCTCGGCCATGCCATTAAATAGCCGAGTAAAACCACCGTTAATAGATCCTCGGCCAATGAATGATCGAGTGTTAAGAGATCTTCGGTCAATAAATAACCAAATTTGCATGTAATATTTTACTATAAGTAGTTTGATGCGTATCTACATAAATCATCTCACACTGTAAATTCTATTTTAAAAAATGTGTGTTTGGACTCTTCTATGGACAAGACAAAAAATAAGTGTTAGCCTATATCCGCAATGGAATTTTATAACATTAATTAATTGTAGCCATCAACACAGGTTTTTGACAGTTGGGTGGTCGTCGTATGAAGGTGAGAAAAGTAGAGTATCGTTGTTCATACATAACGTTGACTGATGCAAATCCCGAGGGTACATACATGTATTACTTGGATCGTACAGAAAATGATGAAGATGTTCAATGTATGTTTTCAGCACATAGTGGTGAAGTTAACAGAGGAGTCGAAAATCCACTTGTGTTGGTTGTTGTTGATTAGTTTATTAATTAGCTTTTTGAATTTTAGTTTTATTTATTAAACTTAAATTATGGCATGAAGATGCTCGACCATCCATTGGCCGAGCTCGATCATCTATTGGCCACTCAAGTAGTGGAATATTTAATTATTTTTCTATTTTCTATAAATAGCTTTGTGTGGTAACCTCTAAATCTCACATCTGTTACACCAATTTCATCATTTAACACTGAAATATTTTTTCAAGAATGAAGTATTTTACCAATCCAAATACTCCTCTTATCAAAAGAGATACTCAACTTTTTTCCGCCAATAAAGCCTCCTTTGAAGATCCGACTATGGAACACAGTGACATTCGAGCATTTTTAGAGAAGTCTGGTGAGTTGGTTAGATGTTGAAATTCCTGAAGGTGAAAAGATTAGAAGAATTGACAGGCTTGTTAAAAATGGAGAAACTCGATCCTGGAAAGTTGTTAAAAACGACTATGATGTATGGACCATCAAATATTGTCTTGATGGTTGTAATCTCCTAGACATGTTGATGTGTTTAATTGTTTTATTGTTCATCGTCTTGTTGTTTTATACGTGGATTCTTTATTTTGTTCTTGTTGCTGAAAGTTGTCTTGAATATTAACTAAATGATTAACTAAAAAACAAACAAAATCATCTAGACGGGTCGGCTACATTTAGACATTTTCTACGCATATGACCTATTTCTCGAAAAATCTCACACCTTCTCTTTTCTTTTTCAATGTTGTCCAATTCAATTCTAATCCAGGTACTGGTTGAACATCCATTCTTCTTTCTTCTCATAGATTCGCCGTGGCAAAGAGTAAATCATTCATATCGTGGCCAGTTCTCCTCATGGGATAGTCCTAGGAAGCTTTCCTTGTAGACCTTGAATATGTTAAGAATTTTGAAGACGTATGGAATGTGAATTGAGTATCCCGATGTATACTAAAACATGTTGCGGTGACGTAGGAGCAAGGTAAGTGAAATGCCTGAAATTTTCCACAATCACACTGTAACACCCTTTTCTACCCCACAATTAAAAGGCACATTTAATCAAAGTCATCAGAGTAAAATATTTAACTCAACAAAAATCACCTCAAAGGGTGTACATTTCTCATGTTACTCAAAATAAGTCAATGCTCCGTGTACAACGGGTTTTGCCCAAAATACATCAAACTACACAAAACAGCGGAACTCAAAAGGCATAATCAAGGTTTCCTCATACGGGAAGATAATCAAAATAAACTCAATAAACATAACTCAACTCAAAGACCCCCAACCCAATGTTACACTATCAGAGCAAGACCCTCTAAGTTGACCAAAGGCCAACAACTCAAAACTTGAAAACTCTTCAACGGCTAAACATGGTATCTGCACGTTACCCACGTGGAGGTAACATTCAAACAGGCAGGGTGGGTAAAATAATTCATAACAATCAATGTATAAAAATTAACATATAAACGACGTCATTTCATATTCAACACATTCATATCCTTCAATAGGCCTTGAAGGCCACAACATCATAATTTATACAAAAGACTCATAAATGCAATGCAACAAGACTCAATGCATGTGGTACCAATCATCACAGCGCGATGGACACTGGGCCATCAACCCTCCATAGATCCCCATCAATAAAACCGATTCTATTTGAGAACCGGAGCACATTAAAACACTTCACATCCACACAATGGGATTGAAGCCAAAGTAATCGAGGTCCTGAACTGAAGTCCGGATGCACATGAATGCATGAAGCGCACGTCACAAATCATCTTCATACCAACATCATAGGTGCATCATCATTCATCATATTCATCATCATCAAACGTCATAGCTCATCATCATAATCATCATCATACGTCATGTCATCATAGTTCATCATAGTAATCATCATCATACATCATGTCATCATATAATCATAATAATCATATACAAATCGCATAGCGCTCACAATCATACTCATATTAATTCATCATATTATCACATATTAATTCATAATTATACTCGCGGTAATTCTCATACTATCGCCTATTAATCACATAAACTCCACAATCCTACTCATGTTAATTCATCACATTATCACATATTATCACAGTTACCCTCATGGTAATTCATCAGAAAATTTGCAGCATCAAAACATCAAGACATCACTGAACCAAAACATGATTCATTAATAGAACATATACACAATTGACTTATCAAACATAATTAGATATAAAAATATTGGGAAACCAATTCCCTTATGTATACTATGTTATAGCCCTGTTCATTAGCTTTGCAACGCTTCGAACGGGGGCCAAAACGGACTTACGGATTAAAAGTTACGTCCAAAACGATTTCGACCGAAAACATGACTAGTCGTGACGGACAGCAAAACGCTGTTACGCTCCAGAACCTAAATTAACCCAAAAGTCCACACGTTTCACTTCCCCAGTGCCCCCAAGGTCTTACGGCGATAAAGGCACAAAATCTATGGTTTACTAGGCCAATCCCGTAACACATTCACGTCCTAAATCACAATTTTTCCTTCAATTACACCCTAAGGCATATGAGTTACTCACTATCAAATATTTCTATCCCTTCAGGGTTAGACATATAGCAATTCAAGGTTTTGGCCACGAAGGCCTAAGGTTTCTTTTTCTCATATTATATTCTAACTGTCAGGAATACTTCCACTACACCACAACATCAGAGTTCCCAAAACCAGATTTAGGCCACGAGGGCCGAAATCCCCTTTCCCCCAATTGAACCACAACTAGATTTAACTATAACCGGTTTAGACCACGAAAGCCAAAGATCATAATTTCTCATCTGTACCCTCAAAATCCCTACGGTTACAGCTCCATAATAGATTTAGGCCACGAAGGCCAAAAATCCCTTTTTCTCATAATTCTCCATAAAACCCTTAAACTCGTAAATCAACCATAATTACATAGAAAGTTACACATGGAAAATCATGAAAAGTTATACTCCTCATACCTTAATTGTCGATCAAAGCCCTCTCAAATGTCTCCGGGAATCCTCCGAAGCTTTTGCCTCCAATCTCCCTTTTCAGAGCTCTGGCCTCCATTCTTTTCACGGTCTAACAAATGAATCCTAATTCCATCATATTTTCCGTTTTGTTAAACCTAGACTTGGGCCTCACAAATTTGGGTTTTTCCCTTAATACCCTTACTAACTCCTCTTAATGCCCAAATTACCCTTATTTCACTTATATTTATTTTAACTAATAATAATACTAATATTTTCATATTGTGTACTATTAATTAAATAAATAATCCAAAAATCCATAATTCCCAATAATTCACAAAACCACCGAAAACCACCAAAATACGAATATTCTCAATTAAATAAATAAATTAAAATATTCCAATTAAATTTGGGGTGTTACACACACCACCGGTTCCTAAGATCAACGCTGTAAGTACCAATAGAATATTTTCATTCTGATTAATTTTTTCATGGACCATAAGATAGAATCTTTCCGATCAAATTGCGTGACATTATATGTGTTAGCGTTAGCCACTTTTTCAGTAATTCCCTTATTTCAACCATCCGTGAAAACATGCCTAGAAGCCAACATTTTTGTCCATTGATGGCCTTTTTTACCAAGGAGCGATCCCATCCGATAGTAGATTGGACCAATACAGTGATTGGGAGGTTTCAGGTTAACTTGAGTATTGAGTTCATTGCTTCTGCCAAGTTAGTTTCCATTTGTCATATGCTTTTGTCCACTTCTCCATGGGGATGTTGTCTATCCAACGTGAAGCCTAAATGTCCGTTCTTCGGATTTCCCCGTGATAGTAGTTAAATGTAACCTCCGTCAATGCATAACGTGTAATAGAAATGTTATAAAAAACATAATAAAAATGAAATAATCTTTGTAGTAACTGAAATGTATGTTCTTACCCATGTTAACAAGTTTTTTGAGTAGTTCCTCGTCTTTAATCTCACACATGAAGTTTTGCGCAATGTGTCTAATGCAGTAGATATGTGAAGATGGGGGATATTGCTATCCATTTTCATGATTGTTATATTCACTCTTTATCGAGTCATATATATCTGAGATTATAATACAAATTAGCATGCAGTATCACGTGTATTCTCAGGCTCCAAAGAAAGAAGCTCCAATTATCCCTTGTCTCACCTTCGACTAATGCGAAAGCTATTGGGAAAATGTTTCCATTTCCATTATGTGCCACCGTCATCAACACAGATCCTCTATACTTGCCATACAACCATGTTTCATCAACTTGCACAATAGGCTTACAATAGGCGAAACCATGTATACATGGTTGAAACGTCCAAAAGAGA